GCAGACTTGTAGATTTTGAAAAAAAAAAACAAATGACTTCTAAAGTGACTGTCCTCACATTTGTTTCTCTCTTCCTGGTTAAAAACCATATTGTAGTTCTAGTGAACTGAATAAAAATCAATCAGGGTTAGTCATGTGGCAGAGTGGTTAAGACACCACTTGAGCTGCCTGTACCTCCTGTCAGAGTATCTAGCTCTGCTCTCAAGTCCTACTTCTTGCTAGTGCTCACCATGGGAGGACGCAGATGATGGTTCAAGTAGTCAGGTGTCTGTCACCCATGTGAGAGACCTGGATTGAGTTCCCAGCTTCCTGTTTTGGCCTGGGCCAATCCACTATGATGGGCAGTTGAGGAACGAACCAGCTGATGGGCAATATTTCTTTCTCTCTCCACCTCTAAAATAAAATAAAATAATTCTAAAAATAAACGAATCAACATTAAATTATGTTGTCATGCCATGGCTCTACATCAATTAAACATGAACTATTTCCCCTGGAAGTCTTATTTTTTGATGACCTGGAAACTTTGCTCTTGATGTCACATGTAAATGGATCATTAGCAAAATGACATCATAATGGAGTCTGAGTTCTCATAATGGGGTCATAACCCTTGGTTGAGTGAACCATAAGAGATTTTCTAACAAACTCTTGGCTAAAAGAATTCATATAGATGAAAAACTTTGTTCCTAATGGAAAAGATGAAAACTTTCTTCATGGTTGTCTTCACTATTGGCTATTTCTCACGTAAGGATTTGTTAAAGAACTTAGAGGGAGAATTAAAAATTTTATGTAGGGGAAATTAAAAGTCAATGATAACTTTTCTTAGGTATAAGAATTTTGGGGACTTTGAAACTTTTCTCAGTAATGAAAAATTCACTACTCAATTGGAATGAATATCAGTGGTTGAATCAATTTTATAATATTCTATGAAATTTTCCATATACAAATTCAGAATTGAGATACTTTAAGAGACTATCTGTGGGAATTGTAACATATATCTGACAACTTGATTTCTGAGCTGAAAATCAATTTAAACTCTCCTCCCTCTTCTTCTTAAACCTTTCCCATCACACTATATCACAAATTAGTATTTTGTGAATGGGTATACACAAATGTATTCTACACAAAGTAGGGTCAGTTTTTGACACTTACTATGAGAGCACCAATGGACATTATCAGATGTCAAGAGAGGGCTAAGCTTTTTCTAATTAACTGCAGCAAAGTGACAGCATCAAGGGAAGTCCATGATGTGAAAAGTGTCTGCTGACTGAATAGTGCTGGTGGAGGGAGAGACAAGGGAAAGGCTCTCTTGCAGTGCCTTAAAGGAATCAAGTTGTCAAACAGAACACAAAATATGAAGGTGAAAGAAAATTTTAGCGGTTTTGGGAAGCGGATGTTGACACACAGATCCCAAAGGAAAAGACTTCTTACAAGCAGGTAGAGTTTAAACAAAGGGTATATCCAAGACATGCAGTGATCACAAATGAATATTATGACAGAATTATTAGCTAGCCAGAATGACTATGCAAAACCAGACCTTTCACTAATGCGTCTGCACACTGAGCAGCCTAACAGTGATGATGTGCTGAGGCCCAGAAGGTGAAACTTGAGATTGAAACCATCCTACCAAAGGTCAGCACTAAAACTAGGAAGGGTTTAGGGTGAGTTCCAATAAGTATCCTTGGCATAAGAGAAGAAAGAAACAGTGTTGGAGAATAAGGGAAGCCTAGATAAACCTTGTGAGGAAGAATCATTTATTTTTCCATGACTTTCATGGTTATTGACTGATACTGATAATACGCTAATTAGGTGTGCAAGTTTCTATCCTGCAATGTTTTATTTGAACATTTCTACACATTTTTATTGCAGGTACTTTTGTTGAAAGTTCATTTAAGGTAAGTTTGCAATTTCCTAAACAAGAATAATTTTTCCAATATTAACCTTATAGAATTAATGTTGGGTTAAACCACGTTAAACCACACAACACTGCCAATATCTGACCATTTTCAATCTATATAATGGCAATTTTATATAGTTCAATCTAAATTTTTGCATCAAAATAGACTCTCAGGAAAACCAGGATTCATCTCTGACCCTGGCTACTTCCTTATGCTTTTACACACCACTCTCAATTAAAGCTCCTAATGTTTGTTTTTATATTTTTTCCCTCCCTCTAAGTTTATTGCTGTTGCCCAGGTCCAAGTCCTCCTCACCTCTTGCCCATCTTGTTGCAATAGGCTTTAATGGTCTTCTTCCATTTAGGTTTACCTGGAATTTAGAAAACTATAGCCACCCGTTTTTGAAAATATACTTTTCTTAGAACACAGGCATGCTCATTCCTGTATTTTTTTTTTAAAAATCTATAACTGCTTTCTGGCTATAAAAAAAAAGTTGTGTAGTTGGAACAGAAGTCAAAAAGCCTATTTACCACCTGGTTCTTAACATGAAAGGTCTACCAACCCCTACTCAAACCTCTGCAACCTTGAGGATGGACTTTGTAAAATACAAACCTGACTGAGAATTCTGTTGGTTAAAAGCAGTGACTCCTGGTATCTACAGCATAAAATTTTTGCATGCTTTATAACAGCCTTCTTAATCCAGTTTCTTTTCTTTAAAATGGAAATTTCCCTTCTTCATCTTGGTTCTAAATAACCTTAACTATTTTAGGGTCCATGCTATTCCAGTTCTGTGTCTTTGTGTTTCTAATTCCCTCCAATTATACATCTCCCTATATTTATATGCAATTATAAAAGGCATTTGCATCTTTTAAGAAGCCACAAAAGCCCTCCCAAATATACTATGGAGGCATAAGCACTGAAAGGAAGATTAAAGATATAAACAGCATTTCCCAAAGAGTGATCTGAGTACCTCCAAATGGTATTATTATTTTAGTTCATATATCAATGAATTTATTTCAATAATTACAATGCTTTTTCAGTGTGTAAGCAAAATATAACTCTAAACTTAAGATATCATGAATTTTCACACTAACAACAAATCTAAGGTTGCTAAATTTTAGAAGTTAGCCAAGAGCTGGGATTAATTTAGTCAAGATACTCACATCTCACATTGCAGTACATGGGTTTAATTTCAAGTTCTGGCTCCTGATCGCAGCTTTCTGCTAATGGAGATGGTTCAAGTAATTGAGTTCCTGCCACCTACAAGGGAGACCTGGATTGAGTTCCTGGCTCCTGACTTTGACCATCGATACCTAGATGTCATGGGCATTTGGGGAGTGAACCAGTGGATGTGAGCTCTACGTCTATGTGTCTGTCTCTCTTTACTCACCACTCCCCTCCCTGTCCCCTGTTTTCTCCTTCCCCCTCTCCCTTTGTCCCTCAAATAAATAAATTTTAAAAACAAATTTTTAAAGTGAGCCAATGAAAAACACTTTTAAAGTAATACATGAATTCGAAAGGAGTCATGAAGTAAGACACTGAAGTTTGAGATACATTGTTAAAATGGGAGCCACCAAAGTCTTACACATATGAGAGTAGCCTGATATACTAGATATTTGGATGAAGCTGTGATCTGAACCACTGCAGAAGGCCGGTAACTCATTCCTAATCTTCTTATTACATATTTCTCAAGAACTTTCTAAGCCCTGTCTCACCGATAGATAAATTATTCTAAATATAAGGTCCTCTAAGATCAGATTACTCCAATTCTAGTAGTATCACAGAAATAAAAACAAAATGGGAAGATACTGGGAAAATTTAACCTGGCAGGTTCTTTTCTTTCTTTTGTAGAACCCTAATCCTCCAAGGACTGAACATCAATGCCAGAGTGGGACCAGACTGTGTGTCCTGTTCCAGGCACCACAGTTAAGGGGGTGGAGGGGAGCTCTGATGAACTAAAATCGTTCCAGAGGCAACTAAAGAGTACTTATAATCAATCCCAGACAGTGATTAGAGTCATGTGTGTCACTCCTGAGAATGGTTTCCTTCCCTTCTAATAAGCTGTCAATGTGCATTACACAGACATGGATCTGGTAGCATAGCTTCAGATGCCCTACAAGGTGGTAATCCCAAAGGCTCAGGCTGCTGAATTTAAGATAATGTAACCTTGATGTTCAAGGTTTAAAAGAATAATTTTTAAAGGATTTATTGATTTGTTTGAAAGGCAGAGACACAGGGAGAGAGAGGGAAGGAGTGAGAGATAAAAAAGACAAAGAGATATGTTCTATTTGCTGGTTTATTCCTGAGATGGCCACAAAAGCCAGGGTTGGGGCAGGCTGAAGCCAGGAGCTCCACCTCAGTCTCTCATGTGTGTTGCAAGGTCCTAAGTATTTGAGCCACCTTCTGTTGCTTGCCCAGGAGCAGTAGCAGCAAGTTGGATCAGAAGTGGAACAACCAGGACTTGAATTGGTGCTCATATGGGATGCAGCATCACAGGCAGCAAAATATGCCACAACACCAGCCCCAAAAGGAGATATTTTATGCTTATCTCCCTACTGCATAAAATAGAACACCCAAACATTTATATTAAAAACCATTAAGAGATGATTGTGGAATGGAAGGTTTGATGTATGAGTTTTGTTTTAGGTCATTGTGTGCGGTTACTATCAAAAGAAGATTTCCATGCAACAGAAACAGAAATGCTCCATAAGAGTCAGTCCATTGTGTGCCTCTAATAATGTAACATATCCCAATTCCTGCGTGTACTGCTTCGCTAACATGTAAGTGATCTGATAACCAGAACCCCCTTTTGAAAATCATATATATAGTTGACTTATAAGTCAGGCATAAACTATTTATAGTTTTTGGAAAATGTGTGTGATCTCCGGAAAATGTGATTCCATAAATTAAGAATAGTGTCACAGGAGTTTCTGTTCCACTGGCTGAAACTAAAAGGGAGTAAACAAATGGGACTATGAGTCCCACTTCCAATTTCCCAAGAGAAGCCTCCTTTTTATTTCAAAATTAGTTTCAATATGAAATTCTACATGCAGGAAGTCTCTGTCCCTAAAATATTAAAAATTCTAGCTATAAGAAACATCACTCTTTTCAAGAAAAGACTAATGCAGCAATTTTCAGCACTCAAGGTCAGAAGACCTTGGGTTGAATCCTACCTATATGATTAGGTGACACTGGGTAGTCTGTCTCATAAAGCTTCCAAACCTCAAGTTCTTATCTACTAATGTAACATATCTTCTGCTTCATTTGCTACATATACTCCATCCTCACAGACTGTTCTTTCTTTATATTTTCAAACATAGGAAGATTTTCCCTGCTTTGCTAACAGTGTGCAAGTGTCCTCTTCCCACAGAAGTGCCTTCTCCATGTTTTCACCACTAAGGTTTCACTCTAAGCATATATTCCCCCAGGTGCCTCCCATGACTATCCTACATAAACCAGATTCTCCTCTGACATGTTTCCATGTTAACCCCCCTCTCTTTCCTCTATAATATTATCATTAACTCCCAAATATTTTACATTTCTATTTTGTTATTTTTGGCCTATCATCATCTGTAAGTCCCACAAAGTTGAAAGGCAGACTTCTGATTTATTCCTAGCATCTAATACCATATCTGCATTAAGAAAGCCCCAATAAGTATTGTTGAATCAATAGATCAATGACTCATGAAAGGTAATTTTTAAAAAATGTTTATCTTATTTATTTGAGAGGTAGAGTTAAGAGAGAGGGGGAGTCACAAAGAAAGGTCTTCCATCCACTGGTTCACTCCCCAAATGGCCACAACAGCCAGAGCTGAGTAGATCGGAAGCCAGGACCAGGAGCTTCTTCCAGGTATCCCATATGGCTGCAGAGGGGCCCAAGACTTGGGCCATCTTCTACTGCTTTCCCAGACCATAGCAGAGAGCTGGATCAGAAAAGGAGTAGCCAGGACATGAAACGGTGCCCGTATGGGATGCCAGCGTTGCAGGAAGAGGCTTAGCCTACTACACCACAGCACCGGCCCCCTAAAGGTAATTTTTAAAAAATTGTTTTGGCTCAGTCTCTCAGAATGCAATGTTTGGGGTATAGCTCTGGATGGGAACCTCAGCTCTTTCGTTTAAACTATGTCTGAGGACAAATAACTTATCCTCCATAATTACCTCAGAGATGAGGTGTGAGCCCTGAAAAATACAGAGGACTCAACAAAGTGCCTGTCATGTGATGCTCTGTCGTTAATATGGCAGTGAGTGACCCTGTGTTGCTGTCAATCAGAAGACCAACCATCCCAATCTTCCTGGGACTAAGGTTTTTCCTGGGACATGCAGCTTTGAGTACTAAAACAGTACATATGTATGGACCTATGCTTTTATTTTTCTTGGATATAAACACTTAATCGCATATGGAATGTGATAACTGTTTAACATTTTGAGGAACTACCAAACTGTTTTCCAAGCAGTGGCAATATTTTACAATCCATTAACAATTTGAGGGGTTCCAATTTCTCTGTATCCTCACCAACATTTGTTACCGTCTTTTTGTGCTAACTATCCTAATGAGTGTGAAGTGGTATCTCATGATTATGATTTGCATTTCCCTAATGACTGATGATATTAGACATATTTTCATGGGCTTATTAGCCATTTGTATGTCTTATTTACAGAAATATTCAAATTCATTACTCATTTATTGATCATAGTATGTTTTTATTGTTGACTTGTGAGAATTCTTCATATATTCTGGATATAAATTCCTTATATTAATTTTGAAATATTTTATCCATTATGCAGGTTATCATTTTATTTTATTAATGGTGTCCTTTGAAGCATAATTTTGATGAAGTCCAATTTATCTATTGCTGCTTACGCTTTATGTGTTATAAGTAAGAAACCATTGCTTAAGCCAAGGTCATAAAGATTTACTTCTATATTTTCCCCCAAGAGTCTATAGTTTTAAGTCTTTGTTCAACTTTGAGTTAGTATTATTTTTTGCATATGGTGTGGTTGAGGTGAGCCAACTTCATCGTTTTACATGTAGATATTCAGTAGTCATAACAACATTTGTTGAAAAAAACTATTCTTTCTCCATTGAATTGTCTTAGATCCTTTGTTAAAAATCAACTTACCACAAATTTAAGAATTTACTCCTGTGGATTGTGCCATATACAGTGGCACAACTACCTTTACTAAATGTTCTCAAGGAAGTATTTATTGCAGATTTCCTATAAATTACTGAATTTAATGATATATTATTAGAACATTAAAAATTTTTTCCTAGAATTTGACTATTTGAACTGGTATTCTGAACAGCTCTGTATATTATTGTTTAACAACATCCTTACTACTTCCTAAGAATAGACCCAGAATAGCCAAAATACCCCTGAAAAGTGCAAGGTTGAAAGACTCCTATTTACTTATTTCAAGACTTACTGCACAAGACAGTAATTAAGACAGTTTGGTACTGGTATAAAGACAGACATACAGACTAATATAATCATGGGGAAAATTATTACAACATTCACCAAATGTGTAAATCTGTATGTTAAGATGTAGAAGGAGGAGAAATCAGTGAATTCCTGAAGCACTTTGGAAAAATATCTTGTCTTTTCTGAATCTGAATTAATTCATCTGCACAAGAACCATAATTATGGATACCTTCTAGGATAGACTATTTTGAGACTCACTGTAAAAGTGATTGCAAAGCAAAGATGTTTCCAGGCCAGAAGGGTCTAATGAGAAGAGAGGTAAAACTTTGTAGCTATGGGCTGACTATAAGCCTGGAGTTTAAAAACCAAGGTCTTTCTTCCTTCACAGTCCATATTCTAAAACAACCAGGTTAGGATGCAGAAAGGCTAGATTTCCTACAATGGTCTCTAAATATGTATATCAATTTCTCTTAGAGCTTTGAATCTTACTCTTAAAGTTGAATACCATGGAAAATGCAGAAAGCCCTCAAACTCTTGAATGTCACGGGATTTTCCTTTGATCACCATGAGTGAAACCATTTGAATTATGCATCATCTTTCCTTCATAAAGCAGAGTTTGTTATAATTTCTTATTTTTTTCAAAAATAAATTTTAACCATATGGAAAGCTCCTCTTTGACTCAAAATATATTTAATGAGCTGTAGTAGAAATGGTTCTAGAAATATGAAGCTGAATAGAAAGTAACCTTTGTCTTGAGTAACTCAAATAGGTTAACTGGATAATTCAGTCATTTAATCTCAGTCATGAGATTAAAAGACATGGCTACAGTTTTGCTCTTCAGTAGTAATCAAAACAGGTATGTGCACTAGTGTAGTTTATAATCCATTGAAGAAGAAAGACAACAAATGCCTATTAAATGATTGATAAAGAGAAAAACAACCCATGGAATCCACAAGTTTATCTTAGCATTGGCACAATTAGTCTCCTACTTACCTTTGGATCCTGATGTTCTCCTGTTTAAGATAAACAGTTTTATAGAACATTCACATCAGATAAAGCCACCATGTGACTAGGATGGATCAAGACAAAGGCAACAGTAAGCCATTTCATGCGAGAACAAAGGCAAACATCAGCATTATCCAGGCACAAAATTGCAAACATCCCTTACCACATTAATGTAAGTGATTGTTGCCTCTTCACCAACTATACATTTACCCTTAGAATAGTCTTCTATTTTTCTAAATAAGGATTTTTAAGATATCCAGTTACAAAATTACTTCCACTTTCTGAGAATATCTAATCCAAAGCAAAGCTTCTTCCTCATACTTTCCTGCAAATGCCCTATGACTCCCATGTTCTCCCATGCTGCAATAAATAATGAACCCAACTTGTTCAACTATAGGTGTGTTCCTGGTGGTCTCTGAACGGAGGGCATGGCAAATGCAAAACTGGAGAGTGGCAATATCATCCCTGTTGCTCAATCTATCTTTTTTCTCACTTCTCTCTCCAAGGGCATAAAGAATATGAAAATGCTTGATCTTGGACAACTAAATTAAGGAGTAGGGAATGTTTTCTCTATTTAATTATTCATTCATTCACTCATATGCTACTTTGCTCTAAAAATAATTCAAGGTGGCTAACACTATTTAGTAGATTCAAGCAGTCAGCTGAGAACTGTCATACAAAGAAAACATTCTGATTTAAAGAAAAAAAAAATCTGATAATGGAACTATAAGGTTGCAGGCGGGTACCCCAAGTGACACTGATGTTCAGGAGGATACACCATCCCAAATAAACAGGGTTGATATGTTAGGCACCCGCTGTCAGGTCATACCTAAGTCTCTGTCACCATAAGGATTTTCTTCCTTTTGCTGGAGACTCTATTTTCACTCCCATCCTCAACTCCTATTCCCTGTGAATGGCAAGCTCAGTCCAGAGACAGGATCTAGAAAAGAAAATACATTTCCCTCTTGAAGAATATTAGAAGAACTAATTAAGTTCTCTGGTAAATCTAAGTCAAGTCACTGTTGGTCTAATATTTCAAATGAACCACTGCTAGTCTCAAAAGGGGAATTTGAAGTACATAGGGACTCGATTTTCACTTGTTCCAATGTCTGGCGTGGTACTGGTTGTATTCAGTAGGCTAAGGTACTGCAATGCACTAGACTGTCCTGCACAGTGAAAAACTGACCTATCCAGAATGCTAGTAGTATTCCTATTGAGAAACACTTCACCCATAGATGGCCAATGTCTATTATATCCATTGCTCCTGCTTCTCCCCATGCCCACATCATATATAAGTAAATAATGATAGTACATGCCATTGAGGTGGATATAGCCTCAAAAATCTTTGCCAACATAGCCACGTAGGCATGCCTTCCCATCAGATTTCACAGGATAAATGAAACTTAAGAGGGGTATTCAAAAGGTCCATGGAAATGCGTATTACTAAAAACCTATACATGAATTTCAAGATTTTTTGCAACAAAATAAACTTTTTTTTAATTTTTTTTTTAATTTTTTTGACAGGCAGAGTGGACAGTGAGAGAGAGAGACAGAGAGAAAGGTCTTCCTTTGCCGTTGGTTCACCCTCCAATGGCCGCCGCGGCCGGCGCGCTGCGGCCGGCGCACCGCGCTGATCCGATGGCAGGAGCCAGGAGCCAGGTGCTTTTCCTGGTCTCCCATGGGGTGCAGGGCCCAAGCACCTGGGCCATCCTCCACTGCACTCCCTGGCCACAGCAGAGGGCTGGCCTGGAAGAGGGGCAACCGGGACAGAATCCGGCGCCCCGACCGGGACTAGAACCCGGTGTGCCGGCGCCGCTAGGCGGAGGATTAGCCTAGTGAGCCGCGGCGCCGGCCAACAAAATAAACTTTTAATTCCATTTCCCAAAAACATTTTTGAAGTACCCTCATATTTGTCATTCTTGCCCTTAGCTTTTTAAGATGAAAAAAGCTTCATGGTTTCTGAGACAGGGTCTCCACCAGGTACTTGAGTGCTCTTCCATCTTCCTATGCCTGTAGCCATGCCTTGGCCATCTGACTGCTTTGATAGTCTTTTTAAGACAGGTGCTCTTTCAGAGTTGACTGAGGCCCTACATCATTCCAAAAGGTCTTTCTGACAGTAAAACCTACCAGCATTAGATCTCTAAACATCACTTGTTTCTAGTGCAACAAGCGAGCTACACCCTCTACTGGAGAAACCACAGGCAGTCTATCGAACTTCTCTGGAAGCATAACACCCTTTGTCTATCACTTCTAGTACCAGTCAAATTTCCTGGGTTTTGCAAAAAAAACATTTCAAAGTGACTGAGGTTAAAAAAAAAATTAAAAAGGAACAGGTGAAGAAGGGGACAGCTTACATGGCTTCTATATTTGAAAATCTAGAGGAATATCTGAATTGGGGTATGGCTGAATCTAAGCTCTCCAAAAATCTTGCCAGAATTCCTCTCTCTATGAAAGACAGCATGGTATACATCCATGCTCTTCTTGATGCCGTCTTTATTATCAAATGTGGTTTCCGAATCCAACCTCTCTCCCAGTCCCAGTGGGAGATTCTGGGAACTCTAAAGTTTTAACTTCAGTGGAAGAAATATTTTCCCTTTCCAAAATTCTGACAAAGAATTTGAGTCTTATTATATAAAAGTACTTCTAAAAGTGGAAAATGCAGTTAAAATATATTTTACAGTAAATAAAGCTTGAAACCCATGTATACATACTAGTTGACATAACATTTTTATTCAATCATAGTAGCTACAAAAATGTTTAATACTCATTGAAATGGACTGAATTACAAGGCCCTTCAGAGGGCAGCGATGGGTCATTTGTCAGGAATTCAGCCCTTGCAACTTCAATTACCCAAAAATAGCTCAGAAGCAAGAAACCCTTGAACAATAAAATAATAACAGCTAATGTTTATGGAATGTTTGCATGCCAGACACTGTTCTGAGGGGACTACACACATTACTTCACAAGAAACAAAGATAAGAATGTGGAGAACTTGGAGTGTTTGCATGTTGTTGGTTGTAATTGAGAAAATATCTCTAGTTGGCTTCTTATGATGATTTGTAGGTATGCTTTTGTTTCATTTTCCAAACTCGAGGTACAAAACCTATCTCACCCATTAGGAGTTCTAGTTCTATCACAGTACTCATTTACACAAGAAGGTATGTTATTCAAATGAGGCAATTGTCTTCAACTGAATAAAAAATTCAACTCAACTGAAATAAATCTTAGTGAACGCCTTCTATATACGTCAGGCTCCACACTAAATATTTTACATACAATTTCTATTTATTCTTCAAAACATTCTAAGTAACAGAATAATCCAAAGTTTGTTTCATTGAAAAGGACAGAAGCAAATAATATGGGAATAGAATTTTATTTTCCTTTATGGGAAGAATGTAATGTGGAACTTAAAATGCATAGTACATGAACTTGATGAGGTGTTGCTGTTTTGTTTTCCCTCCCAGAGCGCCAAATTAAGATACACAGTCTGACACAGGGAATAGGAAAGCTGGAACTCAAGACTGTCCAAGACAAGACGAAAACTTGGCAAACTATGGTTGGGAAAGGAAAAGAATATTAGGTTTGGTATCAATCCAGAGAAGAGTAGAAGAGAACAGGGATTCTCTAAGCCATTTTCAGTCCTTTTTGCCCCGCAACAGTCATGATTTTTTTCCCTCCTCCCTCACCATGTTTGTGAAATTGGGTGTACGCAGCTTCAACGCACATTAACTTCTGTCCAGGTGTTTGTATCCATTTAAATTTAGGAATTTTAGCCCATAGAAGTTATACGCATGTAAAGACAATACATGATTTGGGAGGTAAAAATCTGGATTTCGGTCCAGCCCTGTGACATGGTGCAAGTCAATTATCTTCCCAGAAGATACTTCCTTACCTGTTAGAGTAAAAAGCAACTATTAGGAGGATCCCTGCTTGTACATCAGAGTCCTAGGAGTTTTTAAGGAAATACTGATGTGAAAGTCCTTTGGTTTGGCAAACACCAGGGGTTTTCAAAAAGTTCAAAAAAATATGTATTATGAAAAAGTTACACATAGATTTACAAACGCTTTGCATCAAAATAATTTATCTTTTAATTACACTTCTCAACGACGGTTTTGAAATCGCCTCACTTTGCAAACTAAATGCGGAGACAATGTCTCAAAATCCCAGAAGGAGTGATTTAACATTTACACTTTTAATTAACTGCAATCTCATCCCCCACACCCCAAGCCCCAAACGTTGAAAAGGTGCTCTGTTCTAATTGAATGAATTCTGGAAGCATTTCTATTATTACCTATTGGCTTTGCAAATGAGGAAGTCGAGGTCCAACAGCTTACCCAAGACTACAGATTATCAGCCAGGCTGAAGGCCGAAACACTTAGTGGAGATGGAGCTCCCACTCCTCAGACATCGCTAGCTTCCCGCCTAGCGCTTCAGCATCACGTGACGTGCCAGGCACAGTTTTCCCGAAATGCCACGCTTACCATGGCTGCCTCGTCATGACGCCACTTTCCACACCCAACATGGACGCCAGTGCAGGCCCGGCCCCGGATGACAAAACTCCGGAAACGCCCGAGCGGCGGCGGAAGCGGAAGCGGCTCGGCGGTGGGGGCCGCGGGAAGTGTCTGTCGCGTTTCTCCCTCCCTCTCAACCACAATAACAGACGAAGGGCCGGCGTTCGGTGAGGCGGTGGCCGAGCAGGTCCTGAAATCGGGCAGCGGACAGCAAAGCCGGGGTGCGTGCGGCGGGGTGGAGGCGACCGGATGAGGGCTCTGGGGTCCCGGCCGCCCGGGCTGTCGGTCTCTGGTCCCCGTCGGGCCCGGAGCTCCCGGTAAAGCAAGGGTCGAATTTGTGGTTCCTGACTGTCTAGGCCTTGCTTGCGGGGTTTGCCACCGTGTCTGAACTTGGCTCAAGACTCCAGCATATAGAGCTCTTTCTTGGCCTCGATTTTCTCGAAGAAATGGTGAAGGTTTGGCCTGGACGACTTTTGGGACGTTCTCCCAACTCCAGGCGTCACGAATTGCCCAGTTTAGTGTTTAAAGTCGATGTTTCGGCCAGGTGACTGAGGAAGGCTTGTCGGCAGCTTACTGAGGGGATGTCTCTGAGCAGGACGCCCTGAATACATCTTCGGGAGGCTGCCACGCCTGGGGACCGAGAGTCCTGGGTGTTAGCCTTACCTTGACCACTGACTCTGTATGTGACCTTGTGTGGGTCCATTAGCCTCTACCACCGTTTGCTTACCTGTAAAGGGATTGTGTTGGATGGCTTTGACGTCCCTGCTAGTTCGGAAAAGCAGATTCTCAACTCCCCTTGCCTAGAGTCTTTAGAGACAGAACTGAAAGGCATGCCTTCCCTGCACCCGAATTAGCCAAAAATCGACCCAGTAGAGATGGCTGCTATGTGCCTTTCCAAACACCAAGCTGGCCAAGGCAAACTGGACACTCAGGGAGGTTCCTGGGCGGTGGGAAGCTGTTATCTAGAAGATTTTGTCTTAAAAACCAAAATCAGCAGTGGAAATCATTCCCTAGTGAAAAACAGGAGACACTGATTTTTATGCTTAAGCTGCTGTTTAAAAGGTGCTTCACTTCGGGCAGATCCTTTCCTCTCCCTGGATTTGAGGTTTATCTGTCAAAGGAAGGTAGTGCATTAGGTCACTGATTCTCCATCCCCGTTCCCATTCCCCCCAGCACCACTGAAGGGGAAAATGACTCTGAAGACCATAGTTTTCTGGAGAAGGTGGGGTATAGAGAATACATATTATGTAGCTGTAGGTAAAAAATGCCTGTGCTTGTAATTTTTATCTTTCATTTTGAGAATTACTGGTTTGGATGATCTGTAAGCCTCCTTCCCTCTCTTTAAAATTTCTGATGCTCATATTCTAACGTTCTCTTTGAGTAAAGAACGTGTGTTTATTGAAACGGCTGTATGCCTGGAGGTGCACAGTTTATCTTTAGTCAGAAAGATGCGAATGCATAGTGTAGGAGGAAAAAGGAAAAACTCGAGTTTAGTACAGTAACATTGGTATAGTGAAATGAAAATGAACTTGAACGGGAGTTGAGGACCTGGAGATCCTCACCTCTGCACTGATATGCTGTTCCTCTGGACTTTGACAAGCAGTTCACCTCTCTGGCCACTTTCCTTATCTGTAAAATGAAGGATTGACTTACATGATTCTTAGATTCTTTACAGCACAATAATTTTTTTTTCAATGTGAGCTGCTCAGTAGATGTGGTGTGGTATTCCTTTAGATATTAGAGGGTTAGGGAATAGATAAAGTATTCTATTAATTTAACGATGGTGCAAGGTTACTTTGATATGAGCAAGCTAAAGCCAATAGAAACTTAAAAAAAAAAATTTAGAAACCCAAAGGGCAACTATATGTGATAGCAGAAAATCATAGCATTGTAGCAGATGTCTTTGCCCGTATGTCAGAATCCTAGGGAGTTTTCATAAAGTCCATGGAAAATGTGTAATATGAAAAAGCTATGCATAGGTTTAAAAGTTCTTTGCATCAAAATAAACATACCTTTTAATTCTATTTCTCCATGACAGTTTTTGCAGTCTCACTCTAAACTGCATGTGGAGACAATGTCCCAAAATCCCAGAAGGGGTGACTTAATATTTACATGTCTAGTGAACTGCATTCTCAGGGAAGCCCCAACCATTTTGGATCAATGAGGACATGGGAAATGTGAAGTAGCAGAGGGTTATTTTTGGCAAGGATAATGAAAAGTAGTTAGAATTGTAGTAAATGGGAATGCCGGAGGTAGGAAATGCAGTAAAAGCACTATTTCCTTCTGAGACTTCAAGAAATATCATGGGGAGCAAGATGCTATTAATTAAGAAAAGGAGATTTTCTAGGCAGTTGTCATTGATTACATACAGAATGAGAAATTTATTCAAAATTGTGAAAACTTTATAAGATCCCTAAATTCTTGGTCAGTTGTAAGGTAATTTGGTTTATCTCTGCTCTGTGAAATTTATAAAAAAAAAAATAAGAAAGAAAGAAATGTGCTAGCAAGAGACAGGCTCATGTTCCATAGAATCTGATGTGATCCGAGGGAAGGAGTAATTAGAATAAGTTGGGAGATGGAGGAGGATCTTAACAAGATAGAATAGGTATAGGAAGATTTTTAGTTGTGATGGATTTGGAGAGTAAAGGAGTGGAGATCGGGTTTTTCGGGTATCAGCTATTGTCAGAATTATGACCCATAAGTGTTAAAACCCTTAGGAATAAAAGATTAAAAGGAAAACTCAATTTTGTAAGCAAGGATATATTGGTGCTTCTGTGTAAGTGTTAGAGGCAGCTTTGAGTATTAAGAGTTAAAAGATAGTGGTAGTTTGGGGAGCAGTTCAAATAAATTAGTAGAGACATAGTTTTATTTGAGATGAGAAAGTGATTTGAACCGGCAGGATGGAAGAGTAAAGCACTGCATAGAGAAATCTTATTTTTGAAGAACTCGGGCTTAAGAATGTGCTTGGGACACCAGGACAAAAGCAGTGCTTCCTGTGGCTAAGGTCTGCTAAATAGGCTGCCACAGAATGATGGTAGAGTGATCCAAGGTGGCTATAGGATACTCTGCGGAAGCCTAAATTAGATGGACCATAAGTGCTAATTTATGAAGGTGGGTGTAGTCAGAGGCAGTTCTATCAGAGCATCCAGAAGCCCATCTCCAAACATTGGGACATAGCTCTGGAATGCAGGGAAACAGCTGCAGTGGCAGAGGACCTACTTGATGACAGGGTGTGTCTTGGAGGCTGGAGATCTGAGTCTCACTCAGAACTCTGACAGTACTATGTAGCCAGTACTATGTAGTTGCTAATAACTTAGCAACTTACCTGTGTTGTTCTGTTTTCTCATTGAAAACTTAGGAGCCAGTCTTAGATAAGGTTCTCTGGATGAGCTTTAATTTCTATTTGAGCCACCTGAATTGTAATATTGTTTACATGAGACTGAGGCGAGAAGGTGCCACTTTGATCATATTCTCAGATCGGTTTGTAATCCACACAATATTAAGGACAGTGTGACTATGTAGTTTCTGAAGGCCCCTTCAACTTTTAACATTTTTGGATTCTGTAATTTATCAGAATGACATGTCATTGAGATACAGAGTCTAAGCCACTAGAACTTGATAACCCTAATAACACCTGGTGTTGGAAAATACAGTTTTCACATATTTGTACTCACCTGTTCCTCACCATCCATTGTCTGTTCTACCAGGTCCCCTCCAATTCATTTTTTTTCTCTGATGCTGATAACTGGAATTTGTTTCCTCTTTTTTAAGTTTTCTGCTGCTTTGGTCCTAACTTAATGGTGTTTCTCCAATGATGGCTGAGTATTTATTGGTATGGTGGTATTTCAGAAAAGAGCTGAGAAGAAAGCAAGTCAAAGAAGACTGGTCATGGCACTTTTATACTTTTCTGACTTGCTTTTAGCTCTCTTCCCATTAAAAGGAAAAGCAATTAAGAATGAGGGTGCAGCTCTAAGAGACATTATTGCCACTTGGGACTTAGCATGAGTTGCATGGTGTTTTCTTCTGAGGGAATTCTGGCCTTACTGGGTATTTCGTTTAATGAAGATGAAGCAACTTTTGTTGTCCTTTATCAAGATTGAGCAGAGTAAGAAAAATAAATGAGTCCTTTAGTGAGAAAGCTTTTAGTATCCTGAACAGTCCAGAGATACTTGCTTGGACTGGACAGGCTGGTGGATTTCTCCTGGTTGTAGCTCCTTACGGGTCAACCTCCTAGCTGTAAGCTAGAGATCCTGTCCTTTTCCCCAGTGTTTGTCTGGTAAGTCCCTTCCCCATCAAAGGCTTAGAGCAGGGGAGTTGCTACTCCATCTGCCAAGCAGGTGACCACAAGACCAGTTTTTCAGTTCTAGGCATGATATGAGAAATACACAGTTTTCCTAAGTTTTTGTTAGTCCTGCTAATTGGGGCTTTTTTGATGATTAGTGTTAATACATACTGAAGGTTAAATAGGTTTTTGTGGGTTTATTGGAGACCTAACCTCTGTTTAATGGATAACATCAAGTTTGAGAATAAATATTTTTGAGTTCTAAGCAAGTAATATCTTAGAAGCTTAGTAATATTTAGGATACAGGCTATTTGGCTTAAAAATTTAAATGTAGCTTATGTACTGAAGCAGCTGACACAAAATCACAGCACTGCAAAATAGTAAGGAATAATCAAATATAGACTCATAAGAGTATGGTGTTAAGTTATTAAGAGGTGTGGTTTTAGTGAAGAAGAAAAGGAAACAAGGCTAAGAAAGCTTTTTAAGGGATTAAGAGTTAAGAGCATGATCTCTGAAGATTTGTCAAGGTTCTTAAAGTTGAAACTTAGGCTAAAATATGAAAATTCAAGAATGATCAGTCTATGCTAGTTTAGTCTTGTTGACACTTTATATGCTGTAGGGTCACTGTTATCG